TGGATGTGCACCTATTCTGCATATCTACCAGATCGGCCACTTGAACGTACGACAATTCCAGCCTGACTTTCGTCGATCGTCAAGACTGCTGGTGAGTCTATCCATGTTGTCATGACGAGTTCATGCATCCCCGAGGGAGGTTCTCAGTTTTGCCTTCGTCCCGTTGGTATTCCAATCCTGAACCACGATGTCGAAAGTGCACTTTGCTCCGGATGGGAATGCTCTTTGGGCTGCCCGCCAAATTACCATCTTCAACATTCTATCGAACATCTTCTTCAATTGATTCCAGCCAAACTTGGCGTCTATTTCTGGCCTCTATCAATCGAGTCTCATTCTGATCGCTTATGCAAACAAGTACATGCAGAAGCATATCTTGTTGTTGTGAGACAATTTTGTGGCCTTGCTGGAAATAAGATGTACTCACCCTAATTGGCTTAAGGTGCTGAAAGAGTGAAAGTTGAATTTTCCCAGAATTAATTGAGTAGGCCTTACGCTTCCATTGAATTTCTGGTAACCTTGCCTCCCAAAGGGTGGATACATCTCATAAGTATGGTCTACTGGTGGTCTTTAAAATCTACTTATAACGAAAAAGAAGTAATGTAGTCGATGGATGTAGCAAATATAACTTTGCTTCATCGACGGTGTCACCACAGGCTGCGATATTGGGAAATGTACTGAAACTCGTTGAAATTAACATCTGTCCTGTGACCCAAGGGCACTCGTGAAAGTGTGGACTAATGGTTGGCGTTTCCAGATTATACACAAACAGGGTTCGAATCTCACTGGGGGTGTTGATGCTGCCTTCCACTACAGTCTGGATGAAGATACCTTTTGTAAAGCAAGAATGTGTAAAATTGAATGGAAGCGTAAAGCCTACTCATTTCGTTACGCGAACATTCAACTACCAGTCCTCGTATATCAGATCTACAGGTAGGCTATAAAACCTACTTCTATACGAAAAGTACTTTAGCCCCGATGCTAGCATCTCTGTCAGGAGATAAACATCTTGAACTTCGGGTTTCTCTCGGATTGCTTACCGTGCAGACGGGTGCAGAGAAGCAGGCAAAGAAGACACATTCCCGTTGACGCTTTCAGCTCATTGACCAGACTCGGACGCTCGGTGTGGACCATCAGTGACGCGGCGATACAAACAAATTAACCAAAACCAATCTTGCCTTCCAACTCTGTCCGGCTTTAGTCTCGCCAGTGATGCCAGTAATCGCGAGCACTTGATGTCTATGCCAATATTATCTATTGTGTGGTGATACTGATGCTCCCTGGAGGATAGCTTTGGACGGACCTTTATTTGCGTGTGTGTGTGTGTCTGTGAGAGAGATATATATATATAGAGAGAGAGATTGTGTGTGTGTGTGTATGTGTGTTTGACAAAGACATAATTACCTGTTGTCTCTTGATACTAGCTATCCACAAGAACATAGCTTTGGCCAGACCTCTGTCTGTACATGCAAATGTGTGTCTTTGTGTGTGTGTGTGTGTGGTAACCAGGTGAACCCCCCTCCTGTCTTAAAAATCTTGGACATATCTCGGACAGCTATCTGTCCGGACAGAGGTTGGCATCTGCTTTTCATATTGATCGACAGAAAGTGGCCGACGATTGGGCTAAGCGTTGCATGTCAACTGCTGTGTTCACACAAGTCGATAAACCTTTATCTGCAAGGTGACAGCACCATGCCGATTAATATATTAATCTATTCGTATTTAGTAGGTTTATAAACTACCACTATATCTTAGATAAGACTCGTCCTCACCATAGATCGTATAAGGTGGTAGGAGTGATTGTTGAATTGTGCTACAATCACTCGAGTAGACCTATTGTTTCCATCCCAACGGAGGTAAACCTCACCCAACCTCCTGGCCAGACCCGAACCAGTGGTTTGGTATTGCAGCGTATACTCTTGACATGTTAACTATTACGTCACATTGCCACGAGTGCCCTTGGGTCACAAAGTATATGCAAACTTCCAGAGAGGCCAGGCTTTTATCAAATCGCATTATGTGGTAAAAATGTCTGTAAGGCAAAGTTGTATTTGCTATTCCAATCGACTGTATTACTTATATTCGTATTAAGTAGATTTCGAAATTAACATTAGATCCTAAATTAGAGTTGTATTAATACTAGTAATATTTATAGAAAGTATAGGTTTTGGCAGTGCTATTAGTTCTGTAACAAGGATTGCATTCACCTTCGCATTGAAATTCACGTTTTCCCTCTGACCATCTGGCAACGGGTAGGTATGGGTTAGTTGCAGCACGTCGAAAATATGCACTGCACCTGTCGCGTTCGAGTCCCGTCGAGGGTGCTGAGGAGGCCAGTTCAGGCGTGGTCGAAACTGTGATGTCCAGTTTATTC